CTGCTTTGTCCATCTGAGCATTCAGGAGTTTCTGGCTGCAGTCTACATGTTCCACTGTCACACCACCAGGAGCACTGAGGTGCTGGAGAAGTTCCTGGGAGAAGATGACATCAACTACCTCGACTACATCAACTCATCACTGGATGTCTTCCTGATCAGAGTCATGGAGAAATCCCTCAGAAGTAGAAACGGTCACCTGGACCTGCTGGCTCACTTCCTTCATGGCCTCTCTGTGGAGTCCAACCACAGAGTCTTAGGAGACCTGCTGGGTCGGACACAGAACCGTCCAGAAATCATCCAGAGAGTCCTCAACAACCTGAAGGAGAGGGACCGTGCTGTGATCTGGGTACGTGTTGTTGTTTCTTGTGTTTTCAGGCTGGGCAGGGTTTCCGGATGGGAGAGCTCTCAGTCACTCTCCTCCACACCTGATGTGCATCAGCAGTCAGCGCTGGATGAAGCCTGCCTCCACCTGCCTCCACCTGCCTCCACCTGTGCTGAAGAGAGCACTGTAAGCTCATTAAACTTTATTTGCAACTGAACAAGGAAATCTGTAAAGCAACACTTTCTGAATTATTTGAGTATTTCCACACATTTTGTTTTTCATTTTGGACATATTTTTATCAGGTTACACAAATCTTGAGCCATTTGGGACAAATTAAGTGGAATTGTAGACATTTGGTTGTTTCACACAAACTTTTGTTAATTTACAGTCTGGAGGGAGTAAAATAATATCTATTGAGAATTTTGTATTGAATAAATTTACCCTGGCTTCTCTAATGTATGACCCATTATTTGAAAGAATTGAATGCCATTCATCATCATCATCTATTGTACAACCTAAATCTTTTNCTGTAAACTGAGCTGATGGAAGATGATGGTTTTAGGATGAAGGAAGTTCTATATGTGGTCCTTAGCTTTATATTATGAATATGTTCAGAGTGTGAAAGAATGTGACCAGCAGCCTGCAGGCAGATCATCCATCCATCCATCCATCCATCCATCCATCCATCCATCCATCCATCCATCTTCTTCTGCTTATCCGGAGTCGGGTCGTGGAGGCAGCAGCCTTAGCAAAGCCGCCCAGACTTCCCGATCCGCACACACCTCCTCCAGCTCTTCCAGGGGGACCCCAAGGCATTCCCAGGACAGTCGGGAGACATAATCTCTCCAGCGTGTCCTGGGTCTTCCCTGAGGCCTCCTCCCAGTGGGACGCGCCCGGAACACCTCTCCAGGGAGACGTCCAGGAGGCATCTGGAAAAGATGCCCGAGCCACCTCAGCTGGCTCCTTTGGATGTGGAGGAGCAGGCAGATCAGTCAGAGTTTAATCAGACGGCTGACAGGAAAAGAATTCACTGAGTTGATAATAAAAGGAAGCAGCGTTTTTATTCCAGACTGAATTCAGACAGAACAGCAGCCTCACTTCTACTGTTCTCTGGGACCATCTGAGCTTCTGCACTGGGTCGTCAAATGTGGATGTTTTTCTCCAGATGAGCTCAGTGATGAATAAATGTGTTGACAGAGTGATGAAGAGGAGGAGAGGTTCTGAGGAGGAGCAGCCGTCCTGCTGTGCTTTGTGTCAGGACGTCCTGAAGGATCCAGTCTCCAGCAGCTGTGGACACTGGTTCTGCAGACGCTGCATCACCTCATACTGGGACCAGTCTGCTCCATCAGGACACTCCTCCTGTCCCCAGTGTGGAGAAAGATCCAGAACCAGAGCTGGACTGCAGACAGCCGGTCAGAGCAGCTGTGTACAAAGTAAGACTGAACATGTGCTGATGGACTGATGTGTGAAAATTGCATTTGTTGTTGTGTTGTGTTGTCCAGACATGAAAGATGTTTGTGTTTGTTCTGATTGTTTCTCTGGTCTGTGAGCAGATGCTGGTCTGCAGGAGGTTCTGCAGGAAGTTCAGTCTGGACTGGGCAGAGGGCCGAGAAAACCAGGACGTCAGTGTGGTGGTTGAGCTTCCGTTCAGGGAGCTGAACTTGATCAGAGATGAGCAGCACAGTCTTCTGACGCTGCTCCATGTGTTCCATCCAGCATTACAGAAGGTGACAGCAGAGGAGCTGGCTGTCTGTAAACTTTTGTTCATCTTAGACGGTCTGGATGAAAGCATACAATCCATTGTTTCCCACATGACTGTATATAAATTAAAGTGTTTAAAGCTGTAAATCTTTTTATACAGTCTATTGTCTCAACCATACACTTTAGATCAAGTAAATCTTTATATACTGTAAATGGTCCCAAACATAAACTTTATATGAAACTGCAAATCTTTATTTACAGTCTATAATCCAACCCATAGACTTTATATAAATTAGAATGTATAAAACTGTAAATCTTTATTTACAGAATACAGTTCCAAATATAAACTTTATATAAATTAAATTGTATAAAACTGTAAATCTTTATTTACAGTACATGGACCCAAACATAGACTTTATATAAATTAAACTGTATAAAATTTTCATTTTCGCTTTCTATCCGTTCTGCTCCTTGTGGGCGGGTCTTCTCGTGCTGTCAGTCACACTTTCGTCCAATCAAAACGCGTCTGTATGTTTCACCACGCCCCCTTCCACGTCGACCTGCACGTTCGCCATATTTTCAACCCTGTGCGTCCCGCAGCCCGGTGAACCCGCAAGTTGAGCGACACAAACCTCCACGCAGCGCTGCACAAAGTGTGACCCGTGTGTTTGAGACTGATTCGGGACTTCTGCGCTATCTTCCCCGCCGAGTCTGCCTCTTCGCTCTGCAGCCATGAACATCTTCAGACTGACAGGAGACCTCTCTCATCTGGCTGCTATCATCATCCTGTTGCTCAAAATATGGAAAAGCAGGTCGTGTGCAGGTGAGCTGGGGGTTTATTGCGCATGCAGCGGTGCTGTTTTTACTCATGTTAGTGAGCTAACTTTGCCTGTGGTTAATTTTATACATTTCAGCTGTGCCTGTGCCTCCACAGCAAGCTCTAAGCTAGCTAGCTACACATGCTAGCGTTTCCTACTCATTCATTTGAGCCTGTGGCTAATAGCAGCCAATGAGCTAACTGGCGACAGTCAACTCGAAACTGTTTGAATGGAATCCAGGTTGCTGTTATATTTACTGGAAATGCGTTGTGAAATATTAAAGTTAGCGGCGATAATGTCCAAATCGATCTTTAAAGGGGTTGCAAACGAGAGTTACTATGTTAGCTAGATGTAAACTGGATAGAAGGACTGAGGTCAGTTAGCTTCCTGCTGTTAGGCAGAAACAAATACTACATTTAACAGGTTGGTTTTGCATCATTTGCCGCAGTGTCTCCCGGTTTTGTAGCCTTCTCCACACATCACACATCCATTCACTCCTGCTCTGTTCATTGGGTGTTTGGGGCTCGACTTTTTTGGTCTGGCTTCTGACGTGGCGTTTTGGAAGACGCTACGGAAGTAGCTAACCTGCTGAAAGAGTTTATTTCGCGAGATTTTTGATCATGTTTGACTTTCGAAACTCTTCTGAACATGTGCTATGTATTAATAGTGAAGTGTGAACATAGAAAATGAGGATCTGTTATCTGGACTCGAGACAACAGGGCTCACGTTTGGGTCCTACCTGGGTCCTACAGTGTTGTGATTGGCCGAAAAGCTGCAGGTTGAGTGTAGGTTCAAAGTTAAATGCTTATTTGTTAGGTAACAGCTAAAAAAATATTGTTTAATTTTTGGTGAAAATGGTGAGATATTAACTCAGTGTAAATTTGTTTAGGCACAAAGTTAAAGCAGGTGAAGTAGTAGTGTTTCGTAGGATCACATTTGTGTGTCAAGTCAGTTTTATTTATACAGGCTTAAAATTACAAACCTTCAATTTGCCTTTAGGTACTTTAAAACCTGTACAACATATAACATCCTCCGGCCTCAGATCTGTGATTCAGAAAGCCCTGAATCACTTTTGAACATTTACATAAAAACAAATAAATGAAAGCGGGATTGATCCTTTTTCCAGGATGGACAGACATTGTTGTATATATACTCAGAGCAAAGGGAATAACAGTTGGAAAAATACCAATACTCAGTTCCCTAAAGCTGGATTACACTCACACTGAAGATGTCTGAGATACGCTTCACTCGTCAGCGTTAGAGGGATGACAAGTGAAGATGCAGAAAGCGTTTAATAATACCTTTATTTCTGTCGCACCTTTCAAAACCACAACACACAAAGTGCCTTACAATGAGAACAACAATTACAAGTAGACATTAAATATTAGAAGATTAAAAAAAAAAAATGAAATGGCTACAATGAATACCAACAGTTAAGAATAAGCGATATGAGAAAAGTGAACCGTGAGAAGTGATTTGGAAGAGCGTACTGAGAGCTCCAGGTAGGAAGTTCTACAGCTGAGGGGCATGGACAGCAAACGCTCGGTCACCTTTAGTGACAATTTGAGACTTTGGAACTGTTAATAAGGCCTGTCTGGAGAATCTCAGGAAAAGATAAGGCTCATAGGGAGGTAGCAGGTCACAGATATAAGCAGGCGTCAATTCAAGACTTTAAAAACAAGCAGTAAATTTCAAAATCAATTCTCAAACTCAGTAGAGGGCATCGAGGATTCTGTAGTCGTTTGTCAGGCTGTCATGGGGCTGACACATACAGTTAGGCAACCATTTATCTCTCATATAGTCACAACTATGAGCAATTTAGAGGCTCCATTTAATCTGTTCAGAATTTCAAAACCTGCAGAACGAGGCAGAAACCCATCAATGACGTGAATATAGATAAAGTGTTGAGAGAAAAATGCCACCAGGTTTAAATGTAGAGCCAAGCTGACCACAGCACCACAAAGCTTATTTACAAGGTGAAAAGCACAACGTTTGTCTGTGGTTAAGCTGTGTGGCGACGTCAGTCTCTGTCTGTGACTGTCCTTGAAACTGAAATGGTATTAGAGACTGCTCACTGGTATCGGGGCAGATATGTAATCATGGGCACACTTCTTATCATCCTGATGTTCCTCTGAGGTAATGTAAGGACACAGATCTGTGCTTTTGTTCCCTTTGCGCTCATATAGTTTTTGCGTTTTCACCAAAGTGACTGTAAAAAGTAGGACTGTGTTATATTGGACATACCGTTTCGTTATTTATGGCTGAGAAATAAGGCCAAAAGGGCTGAGATGTTTGATTGTGTTTCCAGTAGATGTCACTGTTTAATAAGGAAAATCATGGCTCAGGTTGTCTTCAGGCTGCCTGTGAAGTTGTTCTGAAGTTACTGATGGTGTTGGAGGACATCACCCTAAATGCTTGATATTTTTATTAAAGGTATCTCTGGGAAGAGCCAGATTCTGTTTGCGCTAGTGTTCACCACTCGCTACTTGGACCTGCTCACCTCCTTCATCTCCCTGTACAACACATGCATGAAGGTAAGACACGGTCACACCTCAGCCTGAGCAGCAGCCCTTCACACGGGCCACGCCTTCCTCCCTGCACCTTCAGTGACGAGCTGTTCTGTTTTTCACCAGGTGATCTACATCGGCTGCTCGTATGCCACGGTCTATCTGATCTACATGAAGTTCAGGGCCACCTACGACGGAAACCACGACAGCTTCAGAGTGGAGTTCCTGGTTGTTCCTGTCGGAGGTCTCGCTGTTCTCATCAACCACGACTTCTCTTTCCTAGAGGTGGGTTTAGGCTCCTGTGTTGTGGCCAAAGGGTGACATATTTCTTGAACTAATCTCTAAAATGATAAACGTTCGTATTCTTGAACATCTAAGTTGAACTTCTCTGCCTTCAGATCCTTTGGACGTTCTCCATCTACCTGGAGTCGGTGGCGATTCTGCCCCAGCTCTTCATGATCAGCAAGACGGGTGAGGCTGAGACGATCACCACCCACTACCTGTTCTGCCTGGGCCTGTACCGTGCCCTCTATCTCTTCAACTGGATCTGGCGTTTCTACTTTGAGGGCTTCTTTGACATGATCGCCATTGTGGCCGGCGTGGTCCAGACTGTCCTCTACTGTGACTTCTTCTACCTTTATGTCACCAAAGGTGGGTATCATCCATTGTGGTGTTTAATAGTTGTCTAATCAGCACCAAATTAGAAAGACGTTAGATCAGATGGACTCGAGGAAATAAGAGAATAACTATCAGGAAAGACACAGAAGTGTTTAAAGATGGGTTCAGAATTTCTAAATGTCTCTTTATGCAGCGCTCACATGCTTACAGATGAAGTTAAAAGCTTATTAAGTTATGGCTTGATGTAGTCGTTCCTTCTATCCACACTGGCCCTGAATTCGTCCCTTCCCAGAATAGTGTTGGTGCAGAAGCTACGTGACAAAATCCACGTTTCCCTGAAGCTCACACTGAAGTTCAACCTAAGCTAATATGAGGTTTCAGTAATCGGATTTATTCTGGGTGAAGTTACAGTCTTTTAAGGAAAAAATGCATTTCCTGATGTTATCACTGTCTCTGCACTGTAATTTAGCAGCTTCACTCTCCCAGGAAACACATAAAGGAAATGTTGTGCTGAAAAGGCCACGTTTCTAAATGCACAGTTGATCTGGTGGTTTTTACCAGCAGCTGCTTCTCTTAGTTTGCGTCATCTCTCTCAGTCACAAGAAATCTCTCGCTCACCAGCGACTGAACTCCTTAGTCACATCAGAGTGTTGCCAAAACTGCGACTAATGGGGCTCGTATAATGTTTGAAACGGCAGGATGGCAGACAAACATCACATCTGTCACATGACCTTTAGGTTTCTACACAGATGTTTGGAAGCTTTTTTAACGTCTTGCCTCAGATATGTTACAACAGGAAGTACTTCCAATATAGTTGGTGTTTTTTTCCAAAGCGCCTTTCTGGTAATCGATTGAACGCCTTGAAACTCCTCTCTGTGTACAAATGTGGCGTATTTAGAGCTTTTTTTGAAATGACAAACATCCCGTTCCTTCCTTAAAATGGCCGAGCTGTAACTACATCGTAGTTTCCTCTGGAATGTGCAGATCTATAAAGTCTCACGTTCCCATCCAAGCCTCCCATCTCGCTGCAGCCCGAGCACGTCAGCTCACCTGTGACTCCGCTTAAAAGTAGGAATTCAGCCGTTCATGTCCGGCTGAGAAACTGATTCGTGGCACGTAGACGCGATTGGTTCTTGAGGTTTGTTTTGTACAGAACCCTAGAAGTCGGTGTTTTTCAGACAGACTAGTCGGTACGCTGCAGTTTTAAGGCAGAAATGTTTCTTCATGGGGTCGATGACTTATTTGGCTCATGGTATGTCTTCCAGCATATAAAAACAAACAAAGGGAGATTTTCACTGGACGTCTTTACATTTGTCTCCTGAACGTCATTGGTGGCTTTTACTTGTAGTCTGTTCCCACGACAGCAGGTTTTCCAAGAGCATTCTGATCATTCTGATTATTATTATTATCATTAGTGTAAGAAGTAGAGAAAGCACAAGCAAGCGAGAGGAAGCAGCAGTTTAGGAGTAAACGTCACAAACATGCTTGTCTAATTCAATTTACGGCTTTAAAACTCGAGTAACAACACTTCCCTGTGTCGCTTCTACACCATGAAAATGCGTCACACAAGGAGCTTCCAGTTTCTGGTTAAGTTTATAAGGGCGCCTTAGTTTTCTGGAACTGGTTAGCTGGGAAGAGCTGGGAGCTCGTCTGTGACTTCTATGAGATGAACCACGTGTGAAGCTCCTCGGCTCTTTCTGACTCTGGTCCGGTCTCGGTGTTATTAACTGCTTCACTGCTGTCGCTCAGTTAAAACGTATCGGGACAACCGACCGGCACTTTTGTGATAAATTCACATTGTACTAAGCGTGTTCGCCAAAATCAGTAAATAAAACTAACTTTGCGTTATGATGCGTCGCTCAACAGGCGTTGTTGTTTTATTGTTAATGTTTTTGCGCCGTAACTCGTGGATCTGCCTGTTGTCATTTCAACAAACTACACATATATGAAGAAGATATATTCCGTGGAGATACGTCTTAATGTGATAAAATACGTCTGTGGAAATGGCGCCGGTCCTCCTCGTCCGTCTGCCGTTCTCCCTCGATGCATGATGCTGCGTATTGCTGGTTAGCGACGCGACCTTTCACAGTGCATTGTGGGATACTTTGAGAGTGTTGGAGGGTGTAACCGTCCTGATTGAACATTTGAGCAGCTCTCTCTACAAAATGGGGAACAAACTATAGTATGAGCAGTGATGGATTTCGACATCCCTGAATTTAGAAAAAGGAAACAAGGTTTTTTTTTGTTTTTTTTTAACCCGTTACTTTTTCTGCCCTCAGTGTTGAAAGGCAAGAAGCTGAGCCTGCCGGCGTAGAAACATCCAGCAGGCGACTCCCAGCAGACTCAGGGGGTGTGGAGATGACATCGTGGAATCTCGTTACCTATAGCAACGGATGGATGCCTGAGCCAGAGAGCCAACTATTGGGGAAAAACACTAGTCTTGATGATGGAACTGGTAAATGCCAACAAACACCAGAGCTGAACAAAGATCATCCCAGATCAACCTTTGGATTTCTGTGTTCAGCATCTTGCCTTAAGCTTTTTTTTTCATCGCCGTTCAAATAGGAGAAAAGGCCTTTTGTGTTTTGTTTTTTTTTTTTAAACGTGAGGTGCATACGCTTATATTTTTTTCATTTTTAAATTTTTTTATAATGTTACAAATAGCATCAATAATGAGAAGTACCTTGTTTGACTTGGTATCGAAATGCACAAAAATGTACAGTCTTATTAAAGAGCGCGATAAAGAGTAATGTATCCGAGTGCCTGATGAAGATTATGTCAGTTTCTCACCGTATTTGTTTTTTCATCTTTTAACTTTTGCATTGTTTTGTCTCGGTAATTGTATGCATATACTGTAACACGTGTACCCTGTCTTAAAACGTTTTAAAGAGGCCAAAAAGAGTTTCACACCGACACGCTCGTCATTTTGTGATGCTGCTTTCTAAAAAAAAAAAAAAACCGTAAAAAAAAAAGTCAACATTTTAACAAGTTAGTCGTCTAAAAGTTCAGACTCTTTTTGTAAACAGAAGAGGATTTGAAGTGTGATCTTACCATTTCACGGAAGAAATGAATGCCAGCAATCACTTTGTCACGGGTGTCTGTTTTCTCACATGGTGGCTATCTTATGATCTGATTTGGAGTTAAGTTTAAGATGCGTTTACTAACCTCCCTACCCTTCTACAGCTTTAATATAGATTTAAAATAGATCACATTTTGGATGTCGATAGAGCACAACAACTGTTTCTGCACCACAGCACCAGACTCACCTTCCGGCCGCGACTCGTCGGTTGAGGGTGAGGCGATTTAAAATGAGGATAAAGCAATAATGAATGAGTGAACAACAACGTTTGTGGGATAAGAACTGTTTCTATATTCGACCTGAGCGTCCTCCAGGACTGACTGTCTGGAGAGTTCATCACATGCTATGGGTGGTGGTGGTGTTCACTGGGTGCATTTCTATTAAAGGCCTCTTGTCAACTTCTCAACTCAAAGCAGCCATTCCTAAAGTATTATTTCAAATTTTTATGTCTTTTTTTTTTTTTTTTTGCATGATATCACCTCCATTAAAGATTTTATGAGAATCACCCTCCAGTGTTGCTGTCTGATTCCTGAAGGGACTTGCTGACTGATTGTTTTGTTGGATGGAAACGGTGAAATGTTCTAAAACATAGCACGGATCATTTTAGGAACGCAGCGTTTACATGTAACCGCTGATGTTGCTCTTCAGCGTCTACAGCAGACACCAGACGTTTACGCATAAAGACAAAAAACCTTCTTTTCTTTCTCACTGCCCGACATTAAGTCAGACT